AAAAAGGTTCTTCTCTCCACTGTCCTGCAACGCTGTCTCACTCCGCCATCAGGTTGCAAGCCCCTAGTATTGTTGCTAGAAATGCATCGAAAAATTACATGGCCAGAAAAGTGCTCAAACCTGATTCAGCTTCTCTCTCTGTCTATGTAGAGACTGGAACAGAGGCCCCCTTTCTCTCTTTCCAAATTGACTCGTATGATTCCAGGGTTTGGCATTTTAAGGGAGAAAGGAGCGAGGAGTAACAAGAGGAAAGTAGAGGGAAGAGCACTACGGTTTAAAAATGAAAGCTGCCAAAGGGAAGAGCCCATCATTTGAAAAGAGTGGGCCTTACTTTCTACCTCTACCAATAGATTATCGCCTGATGCACCATTCTTGATGAGCAGGTGCCGATCACTTGTGTTGCTCCATCTTCCTTTTCTGAATTCTGAGATGCATCGTATTGGAAAATATAAGGTGATCTTAATTGGTTTATGGTGTGTTGGGCTTGGAGGTATGCTTTTGCTGGTGGTGGTTACAAAAAGTCAATTAAAAATTTGAAAATTGGTGAACAATCTTATCATGTACAGATTAACCCTAACCTGATATGATCGATTTGGAAATCGTTTAATTTATATTCTTTTTCGTTATCAATAACATGAGCCTGTATCAAAGTTTCTAAATCTATATAAATGAAGAAGTTATGCTCATCATTCATGGGCTTGAAAAATACTTGTCACTTTGTTGGTTGTGCCAATTCTTTTGCAAATGCAAATACTTGGAGAATGTTTCTAGATTGCAGAAGAGAGGAGTTGTTCAGTTGATAGAGAAACGGCATAGGAGTTAGAGAAAGTTTTAGAGAAAGAGAGGGAATCATAGCCAAGTTTAGACAGGAGGTACAGGGATAAATGACACGGTTAGAGAGAGAATTGAGTTAAAAGATAGACTTTCAAATGCTTCACAGAGTTCACTTTCCAATGCTAAAATAACATGTTTCCTTTCCAAAACTTTAAGAAAATAAATAGTGATCTTCACATAAGGTTATAGCTTAAGTACAAATAAATTGATACTTCGAAAAGGACAAAAATAAATGTACATTATAATGATTTAAATAAATAAACTTGTCCTTACAAATATGCTGAGAATTACAAACATATAGATATAGATAAACAAATAATAATAATAATAAAATCTGTAAAAAATAAGGCAGATTTTACATGTCTTATTTTCTTTTGATATTTAGAATTAGAATACGAAGTGTATTTTAATTTTGTCTATTTGTTATAAATTAGATTAAGCTCAAATTTGTACATATTTCTCTCTATCATATATATATATATATATATATATATATAAATTTAAAAATATTTAAAACTAAATAAAATTACCAAAGTGACCCTGAATAGCAGTAGGGGTAGTTTGGTAATTTTATTTGTTTTAAATTATTTTTTAAAATATCTTATAGGTGTGTAATAAAAAAAAAAAACATGCATACGCCACATTTAAGCTTAACCTAAGATATAGAAAAAATAGATAAAATTAAAGTACATTTATGTTCTCAAGAAGGAAAAAGTTTATATAAGGATGCTACCTTATAATGTAGAACTACGGATGCCCCTCAAAAATCCATCGGAAAAGGTAGTTTTAATGTTGAAACACCCTTTGATTGATCATCTCGACATCGAGATGTATGACTATGAAAAATAAAAAGATTTTAAGTCTCTAAAATAGTGCATTTTAGAACATATTATCTACACTATCTATTTTCAAGATTTTTGTATGTTTATAGATCTATTTAAAAAGATTTGTTTTTTTTTAAATTTAAAATTTTATAATTAAATATAAAAATAGATTTTGAGATAATCCTAAGAACATTTTATATCAAAATTATATACCATGATAAAATTTGGAGGTGTACCTTACTTCTACGCCGCAAACTGTACCCGTGTTAAAATTAAAATATCTTTCCATTGTATGCCGACAACCCTACCCAGGTCAAGTCAAGAAAACCAGAAAGGAAATATCAATCAAATATCTTACATTGTATCCCGACAACCCCACCGATACCAAGTCAAGAAAAGCAGAAAGGAAATACGAATGAAGATGAGTGGCGTGAATCCTAGCCGAAACCGGAAAGAAGCGTGAACCCTGGCCTAAACCAGAAAGAAAATACGATATTGCAGCTGTTCTCTTGTCTCTAACAATCTTCTTTAAACTGTTCTCTTGTCTCTACCAATCTTTTTTAAACGTCTTATCCTTACTCTAATCTCTCTCTCTCTTTTTAACCATCTTTGAACCACTATCTCTCTTTCTAACCATCGTTTGAACCACTTACCCCTCTATATCTCTTTTTTGAGCTAGCAATCTTCTTTAAACCTCTTATCCTCTTTTTCTAAAATTTGTTATAATGATGCTTCTATTTCTTACTTTGATAAACTTGATCATCTTATGCTCATCATTTTTTCAGCTCTCCATGTAGAATTGATTTGCAGGTTTAAATGTTAGTATAAATAATGGTAAAAACTTCTCTAATTTTTCAAAATCCACTCTCTCTCCCCCACCCTGCTTTCTGACGCATTTGCTTTTGTATACATCGAAATAACTTCTTTTGGACATATTTGCCTTTGTATACATTGAAATAGCTTCTCTCCCCTACCCTGCCTTATGACATATTTGCCTTTGTATACATAGAAATAGCTTCTCCTTGATATATTTACTTTATATGCATCGAAATATCTGCTTTCCCCCACCCTGCCTTTTGATATATTTGCGTTTGTATACATCGAAATAGCTCCTTGACATATTTGCCTTTGTATACATCAAAATAGCTTCTCCTTCACTCGCCTTTGTATACATGGAAATAGCTTCTCTTTTTTTTCGGAAGAGAAGAACTTTATTCAAAAATATTTGAATGAATGTTAATCTCTAGCGAGAAAGAACTTTATTCAAAAATGTTTGAATGAATCTCCCTACGGTTATGAGTACCTTCTAAAAAGGGGAGAATTTTACAAAGTTAATATCTGGGGAGGAGATAACATTTGTGTAATTATTGCTAGTGGTTTTTTACCAGAATTGTAGATAGGGAGAAGACAACATGTGTAATCCAGTAACTTAGAACACATCACCTGAAGACAACATTTGTGTAATCATTGCTAGTGGTTTTTTACCAGAATTGTAGATAGGGAGAAAATAACATGTGTAATCCAGTAACCAAGAACACATCACCTGCCACTAAGAAGTTCATCACCCTTCCAATCCAAGAAGCACATCACCTGTAACTAAGAAGCACATCACCCTTCCAATATCTTATAGAAGACCTTGGTTATTATTAGCTTGAAATATATTGGAAGAACTTTGTTATTATGAGCATGAAATTAAAGCATTTTATTTTGATTATCTCCAATATCTCATGAAAGACCTTGGTTATTATGAGCTTGAAATTAAAGCACTTTATTTTGATCATTTTAGTCAGATATTAGTTGAGAAATTTGGCGGGCGGATGCTATTCGCCTCATCCTCTTGGAAATATGTTAAAAGCTTGTTATCACCCACTGATTCCGTTGGTTCTTGGAAAGATGTTAAAAGCTTGCTATAGAGGCAAATATCTGTTTTCTTCTTGGAAATATGTTAAAAGCTTGCAATAGCAAATATCTTCTATCTTCTTGGAAACATGTTAAAAGCTTGATGTGGAGGCAAATATCTTCAGTCTGCCATTGATTTGAAGATGCATAATTTAGAACAAATTCATCGTACAAATGAGGAAAAGGTGTGAGTTACAATGAATGATGTACTCTCCCAGTGAGTTGAAAGCGCATTTCGCACAAGTCCGGAGGAAAATGTGTGCGTTACGTGAATGTACCCTGCCAGCACAATTCAAGACGCATAATTTGGAACAAATTCCTTCTAGATGCATTCCGAAACCACATGTACCGAGAATTCATGATTTATATCCCCCAAAAAAAGTTCATATATCCAGGATTTCAATCAATTCTAAAACTGAGATTTACAGGGAGCAACACAAGAGGTTAAACATCAATCAATAAGGATGGTATAATGTAAGACCACCATTAAGTAAATAGATCATGCACACACGGGGGCAAGGGAGAGAATGGGTTGGGATCAGAGAAAGAGATTAGGGGGTTTAGGGAGAGAGATTGAATTCTTATTTTGGGCCATGAGAAAATATTTTCTTAGGGTTAGGGTAAGGCTGGAATATACATTTCTTTATTTTGGGATTTCATGGAGAAAATAAATTCTCGCGGAATTATTTTTCCACCTCAAAATTTAGATCCAGAAGCTAGAAACGTGATTCCCACGAAAAAATTATTTCCAGCGATAATATACTTTTTGGTTGTCATCTACAAAGTTCACAGGAACACCGATCGACGAGTTCAAGCCTTTTTCTAGCACACGCGTGATAGCAGTGAATTCACGACCTTTCAGAAAACAGCAGGAAGTGGATGTGCTGGACATCTTTACTAGTCTTCGGGTAACGCATCTGTATCATTCATTTTCTATAATTTTTCTCTATAAAAATTTTCAGGTAGCTTTTATCTCTATAATTAAATATAAGTTATCTCTAAAATTTTAATATACTTTTACTCTAAAATTTAAAATTTGAGATAGTTTCTCTCTCGAATTCATGGGTGTTTTGACATGATTAATTGTATTTTATTTTATAAAGTAAGTATCTTCATAATGGGGGACTTCTAGCTGAAAATCAATTTTTTAGGGTAAAAATAAAGACATAAATCTTTTTATTTTTGGCTTGAGATGAAAAAAATAATTTCTGATAAAATACTTTTCTATCCTAAAATTTCGATCCAAACGCCAGAAATATGCCGTCTCTATAGAAAATAATTTCTCGAAATTTATTTCCACACATAACAGCCCCATATACATCCAAAAACTCCGATCACAAGTTTATTATTTATAAAACAGGGTAAACATGGGAAGCGGGCAAGTCGAGTCTGCGAGTTTTTCCACCTTCCGATTTTTTATTCACCGACCAAATTAATCCAAGATAACCATAAAGAAACTTATTGATTTCCAACTTCCAATTTTTTATTTCAACCCATGTCTTTGATGAAAGCCCAATACAATACTTTCTAATTGAAAAGGAGACTTACTGCACATGTTTCTAATTGAAAAGGACACTAACTGCAGTCTTCAACTAAAAAAGTCCAGACCCTACCTTTACGTAAGGATTTCACTGGTCCACTTTCTGCATTCCAAGCATTATCACTAACCTTACACCGTAATTCTTCAAATCAATAACTAACCAAGATGGAGAGCCCCTAATCAATAATCTCTACCCAGCCATGAACGGAAAGAGAAGGCGATTTTCGACAACTAGTTAGTAAACCAAGGAAATTACAACTTCTGTACTTAGAACTTATCCACACCCACACCATCTCGGAGCACCTCATAAGCTTCTCTAAGCCGGGCTTTCTTCACACCAACTGTGAAGTAAACCTTTGAACCTTCCGTCGAGATAGAAGTAACTTTGACCCATATCATCACCTTGGTCTTCATCCCCTCTATGTCACTAAGCTTTCCCTTCTCAAGATAACCAGTAACAACAGTGGTATAGCGCACTACTGATGAATCCTTGTAACCCACTTCGCATATGGATGGAATGAACACACTCAGCTTCCCTGTCTCTTCATTGAACTCATAGTTGGTCGCATCCCTTGGAAACAGGCCCATAGGCAAATCATACTCCTGCAGTAGCTCAGGTAGGGGCTTCTGCAACTTTCCTAGAGAGAGAGGGAGACAGATTTTGAGTGTGAAAATTCTCTCAGATATAAAATTGGGGATTAAATCCCTTATATAACAAAGTTTTTGAGGGCACAAAATACATAAGTACCACTGCATGAATATCTATTGACATTTAAGCTGCATTAAAATGGTGCCCACGTACAAACACATCTAGAGAGAGAGAGAGGGACTGAGTCATGTGGTAACAAAAAGCATCTTAATTGCAGAAGCAGGCCTTTAGGGAAATATGCTACATTTAAGCCTCAAGCTGTCCTTAGCAGTCATCCACAAATTTAATGAAGATCTCATTATGGCTTGGCGTCAGCCAGGCAAAACCAAATTAACTGAAATTGGGTTCAAAGCCATTAAAGTGGGTGAGTGAGTTTATGATGCTATCCAACATTAATGAGCATTTTTTGATGAATTTGGCCAAATTTATCCAAAGTCTGCTGAAATTACGATTTGATTGCGAGACATCACGGTTGATGATGACAAAAGGCCAAGATTCACAAACATAATTTTTTCTCATTCGCATACCAATAGATATTTCAGAGAGACTTCCATATGGGCGTCCAAAACAAAAACGTCCTGACCATTTCATATTCATTTTCATTGTTTGTTGATTGATCTTTAAAGAACACGTAGGACTAGTTTAGGCTTTACATGTCTCTGAGCAAAAAAACTACTTCATTTGTTATTCCAGAAAAAGCAAACACTTAATTTTCCTATAATGCAGCAGATTATATCCTGTGGTTATGTCTGCTCTGGTACTTAAGGCTTGAAATAATATGCTAAGTTATATTATAAAAGATAATAATAATAATAATAATAATAATAATAATAATAATAATAATAATTGTAGTAGTAGTAATAGTAATAGTAACAGCAACTCTAACATAATTGTAACAGTAATAGTAACAGTAACAGTAATGGTAATAGTAATAATAATAGTAATGATGGTGGTGGTGGTGGTGGTACTAGGTTGTCATAATTAATCTTGACCATTGGATGTGAAATTGGGTGGCTGCATTTATTCCATTGACCAAGCTCAAACTTCAAAAGAAATTTTCTCGAACTTTGTGATACACCCAAGCTATCAAATTTCACATCGGATGGTTGTAAGAAACTGTGACCACCTTGTATCAAAGGTAAATAGTCTCATTGTATACAATCCCATTACTTACTAGGACTAAAATTCGATGCAGGCTTTCATCATGGTTCCTTGCATTTTCCAAATTTTGCTTTCTCCATCCATCACGAATAGGACAACAAACATGAAATGCTCATGCATCCTCTTGGAATTAAAAGAATCCCTACTCTTATTTTCATTATATAGGATAAAGATTCTGTGAGCCATTTTGGCCGTCGAATCCGTTAAAATTCAATCCGAGTGATCCCGCCTATACTGCTCCTTAGTGCGGCTCACTATATATACATCTGTTTGTGTGTGTGTCTCTGCATGTGTGTGTCTCCGTGTATGTCTATGAGTGTGTGTGTGGGGGCCCGCGTCTGTGCACATGCCTAGATAGATATATAAATAGATAGAGAGAGAGAGAGAGAGTTAGCTAATCAAATACTCATGTTTGCCACCTTTTCTTTCTGTCATTCACCTTGACCCAAACACGAAAAGTTCCTAGTCTCCATGCATCACTTAACATTCTCCGTAAAACTATGATCTATTTTCAGCCATGGTCCTCCAATCTTCATTAAAAAAATTAAAAAAACATTTATTATTTTAAAAGCATACTGCTAAATAAAGCATGAGTTGTTGCATAATTCATAGATTTGAAACTATCCAAGGTGATGAAGCATGAAAGAAGTTGATCTGGTAGGCACAAAAATAAAAAGAAGTGTTGCAATGAAATTTGATGGAAATTAAACAAAAAGAATTATATCTTACCCATCATAATGATAACTACCCAACCCTAACATCCAATGCCACTTTATCTTTCCAATTATCATCACTATCAAGTTTCAATATCCATCCAGACAATGTTACCCATAATTAATTGCACTTTCTAGCACTAAGGAACCACAAACATATGGAGCATCTATAACAATTCTCCATGACAGAATAACTAGCCGGTTTTGTTGGGCAAAGAACATTTCTGAGTAAAAGTGTATATAGAATGACCCATCTGGGATAAGAAACACAACTATTGGGGAGAGAAAAGGTAAATATGGATCATCATCATCATCATCATCATCATAGCCTTTTCCCAATTAATTGGGATCGGCTACATGAATCCTGGTCCGCCATTCAGCTCTATTTAAGGCCATACCCTAAATAAGGCCATAAGTCCCCAAATCTTTTTTAAATACTTCCAACCACATCTTTTTGGGCCTACCCCTTACCCTTTTCAATCTTTCCTAACAGGAGTTATACTAGATCGATGCCACACATGGCCAACCCACCTAAGTCTACTCTCTCTCATCCTATCGCCTATTAGTGCCACACCTAAATTTTTCATTTCAATTCTATCCCTTCTTGTCTTGTCATTCATCCATCTCAACATCCTTGTCTCCTCTACACTCATTTTATGCGTATATTGTTTTTTTGTCTGCCCAACATTCCCATAAAGCAAAGTTGGTCTCACAGCTGTCCTATAGAACTTACCCTTCAGCTTTATTGGTATGCGGCGATAACATAAAATTCTAGTTGTACATCTCCATTTCGCCCACCCAACCCTAATGAAGGTAGGGATATCATTATTGAATCCTTGAACATATCACCAAGGAATTTGAAACTACCAATCAAGGGAGAGATATCATTGCCAAATATGGATATCGACCACAAATCAAGCGAGAGATATCATTGATAAATCCTTGAACATATCACCAAGGAATTAGAAACTACCAAAACTGCTATAATGGCTATTCATAGAAAAGTTAAAACTTGTTGGGCAGATAAGAGGGATTTATTAAAAAAAATTTATTAGCTGAACAACTTTTGGAAAGCCAAAACCATAGAGTTAATCTCACCATAACAGGCTATACAAGTCCAAAAAACCTTCAAAAAAATTTGAATCCAAAGAATAGTCGCCAAAAAAACATTAGTATGGTGCTCCTTATGTGCACTATGGTGGATGAATTACACATCAATCCCTACTTATTAGCCAATTTTGGTACTAAAGTCAGCAATTCAGCTCTGAAGCCACCAGATGAAGCCACTGTTCCATTCATCTGACCATGTAAAGAGTAGGCACAAGAACCATACAAATAATTCATTGATATTGTCCGAAAAATATTAGCATACAAATGGGTTCCTCACAAGGCTATCCAACTGGAAGGGCAAAGAGATACAACCACGTTTACCTTCGACTGAAACCCGCTTCGTCATAGTCTACTAATAATAAATTTCTAATTGCAAGAAATTGAAAGGTGAGGGAGTGAGACAGGAAATCACACCTTTAAATTTGTTGACCAACCATTTTGCTCCCCCTTCAATGCTGCTAGACAGTGACTGCATTCAAGATAAGCGCTAAGAGAATTACACAAAGAATCTTACATCCAATAGAAGCATGCCGCAAGACTATAACAAGCATTTCTTATGATTTTTAGTAAGACTATTATGTACACAATATAGGGTGTTGTTTAAATTACAACAACAACTTCAAGAGAAACACAAGATCAAGTTACCATTAAGCAGCAAATTACACAATTAGAAAGCTCATGTAGTTGCATGAAAGAATTGAAAGAAGACTTGGTTTACCAGCAGTTTATACAAATAAACTGCTTATACCTTTTTAAAAACCAAATAGCTAATAACTAAACCAATTGCTCCTACTAAGGGTTATACCTTTTTACGAACTACATTATCATCATCATCATCAAAGCCTTTTCCCAATTAATAGGGGTTGATTACATTAATCCTAGTTCACTATTCTGCTCTACTAAGGGTTATACGCTCAGTGAGGCCATAAGTCCCCATATCTTTTCTCACTACTTTCAATCATGTGTTTTTGGGCCTGATCCCTTGCCCTTTTTGAGCTTTCCACTTGGACTAACTTGCACCTCCTAACAAGTGTTGCACTGGTTCTGTGACTGCGCTACACATGGCCAGCCTACTTTCTTTCATCTTATCGCCTATTGGTACCACACATAAATTCTCCTGAATGTATCCATTTTGAATTCTATCCTTTCTTGTCTCGTCTCTCATCAGTCTCAATGTCTTCATCTCAACTACACTCATTCTATGGGTATATTGTTTCTTGACTGCCCAATGTTCCATCCCATAAAGCAAAGATGGTTTCACAATTGTCCTATAGAACTTGTCTTTCAGCTTCATTGGTATGCAGCGATTACATAAAACTCCGGTTGCACATATCCACTTCGCTCACCCAGCTCTAATTTTATCTACAACATCTTCCTCAATTTCTCAATTTTCCTGGATTACCGACCAAGATATCAAGAGTGCACTCTTTTTGGTATTTCCTGTCCATCAATCTTAACTATTTCCTCGTCTCTATTTCTATTAATACTGAACTTGCATTTGAAATACTCAGTCTAAGTTTGGCTAATTTTAAAACCCAAGTTTTACAAACTACATATGAGACAATATGTATGTCATCATTTTACATTTGCAAACACCATCAAAAGAGGGTAGATACCAACAACCAGCCCACTGGGATCTCATCCAACTGTTTGGGTAGCCAAGTTAATTGGAAATGAGCTCACTTTTGCAAGAAGCCCAACCCAAATCATTGACACTTCCTTGTTATCCCATAAAGATATTTTTACAGTGTTCTTTGCAAGAAGTCCCTTTTTTAAAAATCTCGACAGACTTTTTATCCCTTTTTCTTGTGGTGATAGTTACTTTGGTTCTCCAATGTTTTCCACAAAAATGTTAGTGATAATCACTTTTTTCACTTAAAAAAAGGACTTTGAATCATGTCAGGATCAAATTCAATAAGTTAAAAAGCTTTTTGGCCCTCAAGAAGAACAAATTAGTGAGGTCATAAAAAAGCCCCATCTGACGTGGTAATGTAGGTTCTTTTTTTATAGTAATGTAAGTTCAATAACCACCTTTTGAGTTTGAACACATTTGGCTCTCACTGCCCTTACAACTTAGTTCAAGATGGCGGTATTAGCGTCACTAATAATTAGCCAGTAGAGTTGTTAAAATTTTGTCAATAAAAAAATGAACTGCACTAAAACTTAATGGGAAAAGTTCATATAGATCCTAGGCTCTAAACAATCAAATTAGAGCCTACCTCAAAACGTTCAATAGAAGAGGTTGTTTTGATGCCCAAATATCATCAAATTGGTCATCTCGACATCAAGATGCATGTACATGAAAAAAAATGGATTTCAAGTTTTGGAAATAGTGCATCTTGTATCGCATTTTTGGACCGTCAATTTTCAAGATTTTCAAGTTTTCATAGATATGCTCGATCTGCACTATATTTGAAGCTTTAAATTTTAAACTAAAGATGAAAATACAATTTAAGGCTATCACAAAACTTTCCAGTACTGAAACCATATTTCTCAACACTATTCGAAGGTGGGCTCTAATTTGATTGTTCAGAGCCTCGGCTCTATACAAACCGCACCCAAAATTAATTGATTTAGCATAAAGATGTTCTTGGAAACATTTCCAAATAAAATCATATTTGATCAAGGCCATTCCTTCTGAATGATAGCCTCCTCGAATCACAGAACAAGTTATTTTTAAAGTCAAAGTACACTATAAAGTGCAGATGACAAAAAAACTTGTACCCCAAGAAGCAAATGACATTTAAAAGCTTATCTTAGACTGATGTAGACGTATCTATGCGATGTTTTGATATTTTTATAACAAACTAGATTTTACTATTGCATTCTACATAAATATAAACCAATCTAACCATATTAAATAAGCATAGATCCATACCAAATACGTGGCATAACTCAGCAGATGAATGACAACCTTTAGAACTCCATGAAAACGTGGCGGCACAGGGTAAGAGACAAATATCAAGCTTGTCCTTAAACCCTTTGAATTTTTTCCACAAATAGGATGTTTAAAGAATAAAAGACTATTTTCTCTTTTACTTATTCTGTGAAAACCCCCCAAATCTTCCCCCTGAACTATTTGCCCCTCTTATTAATTAACATTAAAATCCCCTTGTAACAATAGAACAAAAGAAAGGCAGCGAATAGAACATTTTTTGTTAAGTTTCCTTTGTTGTTTTGTGATATCAATTCTAAAATGGTAACTATGCATGTATTTCAATTAACACTCTTTCTCTCTAGAATTCAAGCATATATTTTCTTGGGTAAGTAAATATTAACTATAATGGCATATACAATGCAATTGCTATTGCATTATTCCTGGACAACCCCCTATATATATGGCAAAGAAAAATATATATTTGTATGTACGTGTGTTTGTGAGTGTGTAAAAAGAAAACCAAGAAGAATGTTTTGGGATTTTTACCCAAAATAAGAAGGGAAAAATAATCCTTGATATGCTTCCTCTTTGGTACAGAGTTCTCAACCTTGTCATTCATCCCCTGACTTATGCCACGTATTTGGTACGGGCATAGTAATATGGCTATATAGGTCGGACATAGTAATATCGCTATATGGTTTTATATTCATGTAGAATGGCGCAGTTAAGTTTACCCCCTTGTAAAATATCCTGAATATATTTGTTAAACAGTGGGTTTATTCTGTTTATGTTCATGTATATTTCATACAATGAGTAGTGTCTACCTGTCACTCTAATTCTTTATTATGTCTAAGGCCCTAACGTGAGGTTCAAATTTGCAATTGTCTTTGCATTTATGACCAAGGGCATAATGGTCTTGAGGCGTTATGTAAAGCATTACACTACTATATACCTCACTTAGTGGAGTTTAGAATGACAAGGGAAATTAAGCTCTTCTTTCCTTCATATGATTATTCCTCTCTCTTCTGCTTCCATCATTACTCACTGGATTCAACAATGTTTAGGAGTAAATAGGATCTCCATCCAGAACTTCTGGCCTTTCTTGGAATTGATCCAGACCTTTTCCATTTGAATTGGGAAATAGATATCTAAGTCCCGCCATTTGAGAGGGCCTTGAGTAATTTTTTGGATTCCCTCTGGTTTCTGCCACTCTATGCTCAAAACATAGCTCCCTCCTCAAATATATATCACGTAAGACGCATCAAGCAAGTGCTAGACAGAATATACAGTACTAGATACTACATTTTCGGCAATTGATGGTATCCATTTCAAGTGAGGAGTGAAAGTCTAGTACCATGGCCTACACTACTCAAGAAATGATTTGGGAGAAAAAGTCATTGACTGCTATAGGAGAATCTGCTGGGATAGGGTGCAAAGCCAAGATGTCTGCTTGTGCTTGTCCATTGACAGCTTTTTGTGACACATAGGTTATGTCAAACTCCATGAGGAGCAATGACCATTTTGGAAGACGGCCAGATCGACAAGCATGACATCCATATTATCGAGTACTAATATCTCATGCAAGGACCAAATGTATTGAAGTTTTTCAGCACATCAGAGAAAAGGGGGCCAAAGGCATCAAAACTAAAGAGTATCCTCCCAAGTCCCAAGAAATATCAATGGAAAATATTTTCACCAAAGGAAAGCAGAGATATCAGCTAAATTAGTCCACAGAAATATCAATGGCATACACTTTAACCAATTTATTTCTGCATCTGGATATCTCCCCTTCGATTGCAAACACAGTACTAATCCATGTCTTCGCTCCCATCTTATTAAAGTAAGGCTATAAGAATAACAACAAAATCACCTCAATTGTTTTCTTTCCGATTATTAACTAACAGTACAAGTAGCATCAATCTCTCTCTCTCTCTACAATGTGAATGGATGCATGTAAAGGCATACCAAGATGAAGCTAAACTCAATCAGAAATTAGGTCAAACGCATCAACTGAATCGCACACAAATAAAACCCACAATTCGAGAAGCAAAAATCATTTCATAGAATAAATTGATCATAATAATCATAATAGATTAACGTAATTTAGTTTGAAAACAAATCTATATGAGAGAGAGAGCACACGTTAATGTCGTCTCCGACGGAAGATATCTCCTTGTTGGCTCTCCGGGAGAACCAATAGGAACCCACTTTGTTCAAAACCTGATCCATGAGAGAGAAAGAGAGAGTAGGGCGCTTCAGATGACCTAACCAGAGACTGAGAGAGGAAGGCTAGGGCAGCGTCTTGGGTAGGAGAGAGAGAGAGGGAGAGGGCGAGACCCGCTCTTTGCCCTTCCCGGCAAAAAGTAAGCTCACCAAGTCACGGTCGCAGACGAAATATTCAAGGACAGGGGTAAGTTGGGAAATTAAGGTAAAATCTTCCACTTTCTCTCTGAGTTTTTGCGCGGTTGCTTTGTTACATTAATGAAGATAATTAATGATGTGACTTTTCTCATCGGTTGGATTTTTTTAAAATGTTTATAGAAGAGAGGAGTTTTTAAAAGACCGAGGTTCTAAACAATCAAAGTGAAGCGCACCTTAAGTAGTGTCCAGATATGTCGCTTCAATATTGAAAATCGTTGTAATAGCTTTAAAATTTATTTTTATATCTGATTATAAAATTTAAAGCTTCAAAAATAATATAGATTGAATAAATTTATGAATATTTGAAAATCTTGAAAATTGACGATCTGAAAATACATTATAAGATGCAATATTTTTAAAACTTGAAATCAATTCTTTTCTCATGCATCTTAAGGTGAAAATGATCAATTTGATGATTTTTTAACATCAAAACAACCTCTTTTAATGAAATTTTTGAAATGAGCTCTAATTTGATTGTTTAGAACCTCAGCTTTATATAAATTTTTTTATTATATTATATATTATTATGGTGAAATAAATAATAAACGTAAAATATTTGGGTTGGGTCGACGTAGACCCAGGCCCAACCCGGCCTGATATGGGGTCCTCTGTTCTAGACCCAGATCCCGTATATCGATTCCAGAATATAACCCAAGTCAAATCAACTTCCGCAAGTTAACCCAACCTGTTACCCGCACCTAAATGTATCCTGCTTCGAATATGGATATGAAAACCGGTGCTTTAAAATCGGGATATATGGGTTGAACCGATTATCTTCGCGTTTAGAGCCGGCTAGATCGGTGAGTTGAACAAGTTATCCAATGTTTTTAATAGAAACCTGGGCAAAACGGGAGGTGTACCGTTCAAAGCGGTACCACACTAGTTCTTAGCTAACTCGGCAAAATTTAATGGAAATGTTAGGAGACTATTTACTTTGGTATGGACCAGTGTTTAAAAAAACGTTGAGTCGAACCGGAGCATGGACGGATCGAATTGACGAAAAAAACGGGAATCGTCTGGTTCTGCACAGTGACTCGCCGATTCACTGTACGGAATCGGCGAGTCCCCCGTACAGTGAATCGGCGAGTCACGTACGGTAATTTTTTTTTTTTTTTTTTTTGTTTGTAATACTTGATCGATTTTTTTGTAATCCACGATCGAATTGTGTTTTTTTTTTTTGTAATCCATGATAGTAATTTTTTTTTTTTTTTTGTTTTT